TTCGGCGGTAACTCCTCCGTAAACTCATCGGGTGTTCTTTTGCCAGCACCATACGTGATAATAGCAATGTAACCCTGAAAAAAAATCCAGCAATCAATGAAACAGAAGTTTAAGGGAAGGAACAAAGAGCAACTGCACTTCACATAGGAATCTTTTTGTGGTGCGCTACGTGTTGAAGTGTGGTACAGAGACCTAAAGCTTGGATCAGATCGAGCTAAAGTGGTGAGTTGTAGGGCAATTTTGACGTTTCACTATAATCAAGTGCGAGCGCCCACTCCTCAGCGCTCGAATACAAGTGCATTGCTAAGGAAGCTTCAGAGACGATGTAGCCTGTTCATTGAAAAGTAAAGCGTTCGAGCGGGCTATGCACTGTAACGCAATTTCCATAAAGCCTTGATAGGCCAAGCGGGTTAGAAGGTATGGGAAATCCATTTGAATCGTAGCGTTGGTAGGTACCTACCTGGTTTTCTGGTGCAGTCCTTACAAGGTCAGGATTGTCCACCAGTCGATCGTTCACCTGAACAAATTACCCTTAGCCAAACATCTGGCAATAGTACTTTTTGATACGACTTCCATGAAACCTTACCTCAGCCAAACCACCTTTAACACCTGCTCTTACTACTATCTCTTCACCATCTTTGCAATGAATCGTGCATAGTCGCGTCTCCTTTTGCAAATGAAGACCTCCCTGAGTGATAATATGAAAGATCGTCTTTCTGATCTACTGAGCTGAAACAAGTTCCTTACCTTCTTTCCTTTTCCAACAACAACATTATCCATACGCGATGTTCCATTCTTCTTCACACTTCCAAAGTCAACTTTGACAACTTCGCTGTTTAGCTGCTGGAAAAGAGACATCGAGCAGAAGGTCACCTACTCCGTCAACATCAAGGGCAGAGGTTAACTACCTACTGAATATGGAAGGTCGGTCTTAAGGAAGAGGGCACGATGGACGGGCGGGGCGGGCGGTTACTGCTAACGTCACTGGTGGAAGGATTGTGCGGGGTGTGGCCAAACTCCCTCAGCCCTTCCGCCAATGACGTTGGCAGTAACGGCACAAAACCATCCATCATATCCACTGCCTTAAAAAACCTATGATGAAGAGCACAAATCCTTCATGGATGTTAAAAGCCCAAAAAATGAAGACTTTCGGAATATCGAAGGCTGCGAAGCACATTAATAACAATAAAATAGTGTTCTTCAAACTTTTTTGGGACTGGGTTGTGCCCATTAATGACCAGATCCTCCCATTTTTTGCGGTGGAAACGTATCAAATCAAATTAGGGCAATTCGGTTGCGTCACTTCATCTCAAGACCTTAGCCAAAACAGATTTCCTCCTTCCTTAGCTTATTGAGTGGGTGCTCAATTGTATTCCAGCCCATCAAATCGTGAACATCATTATGCATCGCTAGAATTTCCCATCATTTGGGTTGTGAGCTTTCCCCGCTCCTCTTCGTTGTCGTCATGGATGCCATTTCACAGGTCCTTCAGAAAACGACTCTTTGGACGCTTCTCTACGCTGATGATGCGACGCTACTCCTGTAAGGAAGAAAATGATCTCGAGCAACAGGTGCAAGCTCGGTCTGAGCGCTTGGTGAACTTTCGAACCGTACTGAAAGTCAAGGAAACCGAATACCAGACAACCGACTTGAACGAGTGGGGCTCCCTTGTAAGAGTGAGTCCTACAGGGTCAATGGCAGTGTGCTGACGCGCACAACAACGTTCAAATATCTTGGATCAATGAATACGTCTGATCGCAGTCTGGACTCGCGTGTGAGTGCAGCCTGGTACAAGTGGCGATATGCGACTGACGTTCTTTGCGACAAGATGAAACCAGTACGCCGCAAGTCGACGTTCTGTAGAACCGCCAGACCTAGGCTAATGCCGTTTGGACTCCAGAAATTTCGGCACCGAGCTCATTTTTAAATTGCCTAAGTCACCAAATCCGCTAAAAACTTGTATATAGGGGTAGTTTAACATCCTGATTACGAATATGACATTCACTCTTGTCGCTGGCGCCAAGAGAGGACACTACGATTACCTCCTGGGCTCAGCCTTAGCAGAG